TTTTTACCCACCTTTACCTCCGTGACGGTGAGATAGTGTGATGTCTTTACTAGGCTGGTGTAGCTCATTCCTTATTTAATCATTTCAGATCAGGAAGACATTGTTCCCGAGTCCGTTCCGCAGGAAGACGGCGAAGGGGACGCCTGAAGACTCCGTAGTTATATTTATAGCTTTTATTTTCGAGTTTCTCTTTTAGTTAGTTTGTTCTTTTATACTTTGAGCACGTTTTTGGTTTTAGTATAAAGGATGTTAATCAAATTTCTATTCCGCTTCCGCATTTGACCTTTTTAATACACATATTTCATTTCAAGATTTCGGAGCTGTCACAGGGTTTGTCTTTAATTATGACTCATCTGGCACCTCACCATTTGAACTACAATGCTACTCAACTTTTTTAGAATGAGTGAAGAAAGACATGCAAGTGAAAAGAACATGAAGTAAACATGCTAGTAGCAATTATCTATTCAAATTGCAGTTATAAACTGACATTTTAGATTTCATTTTTTTTTTTATAAAACTAATCTCTTTATCATTAGTTTTAAAATTTAAAAACTCTCTAACAGTTTATTTTTTTTTAAAAAAAAAATTTACAGTTTGTTTATTCATGTAAATATAAAATTTAGATTTAAAAATATATTTATTATATAAAATCTTTAAATAAAGTCAAATAATTATTTTTGGAAATGTCTTTAATACTTTTTACTTAGTTCAATACTTTAATTAAGCATTAAAAACATAAAATTAATTAAACATGACATTAAATATAACTAAGAGCAAATTTGTAAATTTCATTAAAATTAATAAACTCTAGAATAAGTAAAGTATAAGTCAAAATAAAAATTGATTCATTTGTAAAAGTTCTTATTATAAAACTTCTGAATATATTAAAAAAAAAATTTTACAAAGTTAACATGATATTTTTAAAATATATATTTTTTTAAAATAGTTACATTTGAAAAAAGTAAACTTTTTTATAGAATTTACTTAAAAAATTCTTAGATTGTGAGATAATAAAATTTTTATTTAAAATGATCAAATGATCAAATTTTATTATTTTAAATAAAATCTTTATTCTAATTAAATTAAATTATATTTTTAATAAATTTTTATAAAAAATGGCCTCAAATACAAATATCTATTTTATTTTTATTGTCTAATTGAAGTCTCAGTCCCAGAATGCCATCTGGTTTTTGTGAAAACAAAATATGGGAAAACCGGAATAAGCTAAAGGGTTCTTGATGAGCCAATAAAAAGGTTAGAGAAAAACGAAGCTGGTACAACTCCAACCCTTAAGCCCTGGGATCCTCCAAAACCCAAATACCAAACCCATCAAAGGCTTCTTCTTCTTTCTTGCTATAGGTAAAGAAGGCTGAGATCGCGAACGCCAATCTCGCTAGTAATGGCGTCCTTAAGGGTTGTTTCTCGGTTATCCTCTCGGTTACACCCTCTGGCTCTCAAGCTCAACAAGAAAGCACCTCTCTCGCCTCTCCTCTCTTCCCTCAAGTCAAACCCTCCGGCTCCAACGCGCATTTCTCGCGCTTCCCGGTAAGAACTTCAGGAAACTATAAGATACCCGCTATTATTTACTTGAATCTTGTTTGGTTACCGAGCAAATATAGGGAAGTTTTTATTTGGTATATATCCAGTGAGCCTATGGACTTAGCGTCGAAGTAGTCTGTCTCCTACTATTTATATTCAATTTCATGTCCTTGTTTACTAGTGGCTTTGTGATATTAATTACTAAGTTCATTGTCACTCATAAAAACTTCAAGAACTTAAATTTTGATTTGGCAACTGAAACAAACCACTACTTTACTGCAATTGAAATGATTGTCTATTTGATTGTTTGCTAATTTTTCTAGGTTACCCTTGGAGCTGAGTAGTTTAGG